TGCAAGAATAAGCGAAAACCCAGCATTACAAATAAGAAACCCGCACATGATTGTATTTCAAACTAACTGATACAAACAAGATAATGAAAACCTAGAAGCTACTAGCAGATATCCTAAATACTAATAAAACAAATATGGGAAATTTTAATGAACAAAACCTAGTTCATCACTAGGATTGGGGTACTGATTGCCATGTCTAGTAAAAATTCCAGAAATCTGAAATCTACAAATTGACTTAATTAATCATCTCATCAATGGTTGGATTGGACCATGAAAAGAGAGCAAGCTTTAAGAAACTTCAACTTGTAAACTGTAAACACAACCTCTTTTTGATTCAATAAGTTTTTTTTTCTTCAGATTTTATTCAACTTCATTTTAAATTTTGTTCTTTCCCATATGGCCAGAAATAGTATCTGAACTCAATAATGCGATTCAGAATTCAGATACAAATACAAAGAATAGAATTGGAGGTGATGCAAGAACCTTAAGTTTAGTGCCTGGATCCAATCGCAGCGTAGGAAATTTTTCAACAGGCAAATCTTTTAATTCATCCAGAAAATACTCCTCCCATGGTGCAAGTAACAATATGCCTTGTCCTTCTTTGCCTTCTCGTCCCGTTCTTCCAAGACGATGTATATATTGATCCCGGTCAGAAGGAATACCCACCTGGTAACAATCAGACTACGTATTACTTTTACTACAAGGCAGTGCAGCCACATACAAAAACTCATTCATCAGTTATATTTTAAATCCTTTTTCCCTTCTTTGTTAGTTTAATGTGAAATAGTTAATAGATGCAGACATTTATGTTCTAATGTGCTATGGTGAGTAGCTCTTTATGCATTCAAATATGTTCGAGTCCCCACAAATCTCCACATAGCTGAATGAGTGGATCAAAGCAAAGTGAGCTAGTTCTGCCTCTAACATCTTTTCAGAAAAACAATTCAACAAATCTCATAATCGCTAAATCTAAGCAATGATTGGAAAACTAATACTCAAGAAGAAACTATATACATTAACGCTCAATGTGAGAAGCACTACCATCGTCGTTAAACATAAAAGCCAACACTATACACAATGTAGGCTTGGGAATGCTATGTAAATCTGAGAAGGAAAAAAATTGAACTCCTGCTGAGCCACCGCATCTGCATTCAGTCGGAACATATTAATGTTGGTCCACTACGTCATTTATGTACACAGAGAATAGATATACATGTAATTTTTACATACGTTAGAAAAATCAATTAATTCACATGTCAGTGATATAATTAGGTTCAACCTATAAGAAAAACATAATTGAGCTGGCAAATACCTGAATGACTAAGGAAACATCAGGATAATTCATTCCACGTGCGGATACATCAGAGGTAACAAGAATCAGTCGTTTTGATACCTTGAATTCCTCAGAGATACGAGTTCGATAGAGTTGAGGCTTCCTGGAATGCATCTCCTTAACATTCATTTTCATTTCACGAAGAACATGAAAGAGGAGGGATGTTACCATTCCAGTCGTACAGAAAACAATAACCTGAAAGATACAACGTTAGGCCTCAGGCACATACAACACAACCAAACATTTGAATCCACAAGCTATAACATCAAACCTTATAATCAGGTGATTGCGAGATATGCTCCATCAGAAGCTGGTGCACTATTTGAAAATGCAATTCATGTGGTTCAACAAGAGATGATTGCTTAACCTGCACTCACAAGTAGAGATCGATTCATTACTCCAATGTCATATTTTATGCTTCAGGTATTATCAGAACCATTTCAACCATCTATAATAAAGTAATTAAAATGATGTACACCAGAACTGTTTCACATTAAGAGGCTGAACAGAGATGTAAAAGCAAGATTCATAATAAATTCTATATTGGAAACTACACCAACTGGTCAATGTTATATACCTTATCATGAGTTTCAACACAACCTAAACCCACTGTGTCAACAAAGGCATGGTCCTTCTTCAAGACAAGCTGTGATATTCGGCGAACCTGCATATTCATAATCAAGTAAAATCTGGGCTTTGAGTGGTTTCATACAGCAAAATATACCAAGTGCCTAGTAAAATTGTTCCTTTAAACTTCAGACTTGAAGTATAAGGATAGTCGAACCTCTTTTGGAATTGTTGCAGTAAAGAGCAAGGACTGCCTTTGACGAGGCAAACAATCAACAATTTTCTCTATATCCTTCCGAAATCCTAGGTCTAACAAGTGCCCAGCTTCATCAAGTATCAGCATTTTCAGTCCCATCAATCGCACCGACAAGCCTGACTTATTCTCAATGTGGTCCAGCAACCTGCCAGGAGTTGCAACTATTATCTGCGAAACATTTGTACAATGGATTCTTACTCTCTTCACAACCACA